AAGGGCTACTGGAGGAAGCCAACAGCCATAACCTAAAACAGCAGAGCTGGCCCATAGTTTATGGTGTGGCGATTAGGATCTGGGTCTAGACCTTAGACCACACACATAAGGGGTCCATTTTTGTTTTTTAAACAATCTTCAGAGCCCTTCACCCTGCAAATATCTGAATGGGCATCATTTCCATAAGCTTATGCAATGTCACAATATTTCTATCCATCCAGAGTTGTAATATTTTTTCACCAAAATCTTGTAGTGATGATGGGAGAGTCGGACCATTGCATAAAGTCCTCTCCAGCACATCCCAAAGATTCTCAATTGGGTTAAAAATCTGGACTCTGTGGTGGCCAATCCACATGGGAAAATGATGTCTAATGCTCCTGGAAACACTCTCACAATTGGAGCCCAATGTATCCTGGCATTGTCATCTTGGAATAAGCTTGTGCCATCACGGAAGAAAAAAATCCATTGATGGAAAAATCTGGTCTTTCAGTATATTCGTGTAGGCAGAGGACCTAATTTTTTAGCCACATAATAGGTCTATGTTCAGCAACATTATCCAACAGAAGTCGAATACTGGTTTGGTTATCTACTGTAAATCCAGGTGGTAACTTTTTTTTGGATAGGCAGTGTATATTTTTCCCAGTTTGAATGTAGTGTTGTAATACTAGTGGTCATAATATATTCTTACAACATTACATTCGAGCTGGGAAAAATATATGAACATTCGTTTTTTGCCATTCACCCAAAACAAACAAACAAACATTCAGCTATTCACAGGGGTGAAGGGCCCTGTGAATTGTCTATAAACCCCTTGATGTAAGTTTAGCCTATTACTTCCCCCCTCATTCTTGGTCACTATTCCTGTTCTCCTCTTGTCCACTATTCTAGCCTGTTAATTGGACAGTGAGCAGAATATACTTATTAGTAAGGCTGGTAATGATTAAAATTTTCGTGTTCGATTAATCGACATTTTTTTTAATCGATTATAACGCACATACAGATCCAATTACATTGGCCTATACACATACAGCACAGCAATGAAGTAATAAAATGAACTAGGATCACACTAATCCAGCACGTTATTATTCTCACATGCCCACTCAATATGGCCGCCGCTTGAGTGGGGCAACTCAGAATAATAACGTGCTGGATTAGTGTGATCCTAGTTCATTTTATTACTTCATTGCTGTGCTGTATGTGTATAGGCCAATGCCTTGGCTGGCACTCGTGCAGAAAGTTTCTTGCGCAAACTCACCGGCCCAAGTGGCTCAGATCAAAATAATTTTAATCGATCAAAAAGTTTAACGATTAATTGAGAAATTAATCTTTCATTTCCACAGCCCTACTTATTAGGTCTAATGGAGACAAAGGCCTCATTTACACTGGGCGTATGTGCCCTTAAATAGATGATCCCGGGAGGGACAGGTGCTGTGTGTGATTGCACGCAGCAGCCTGTTCTTTCCCACAAGAGGACGTGGCTGTACGCGGTCATCCATGCGGGTATGATGTGCATGGCTGTGCAGTTCAGGGGTCTGTATGACACTGTACAGCTGAGTCCTCCTATGTTGAAGAACAGGCTGCTACGTGCAATCACACGCAGCTCCTGTCCCTCCCAGGACTGGCTGTTTATGGGGGGCACGCCCAGTTTGAATGCGGACCACCACTGAGTACTGCTGGGCAAATGATAGGAAGACAATATAAAAGACAAAATTCAGGCAGTTCTATGTAAAATATATTTATTTTATGCATACATAACTGAATAAAATTTGTTTTTTTGTATTTAAACTTTGTCACTTTATCTCAAACATTAAATGTCAGTGGTGGCAAAAGACAGTTCGCATTTCATACTTTCTCTTTCTGGTAGAGAACATTAGAATCCAGTTATCAAACAGAAAATAAAAAAAATGACAAGCAGATTTTGGTCTTAAAAAAAAAAGGAAACATTCACAAAACAATAAACAATATTATATTTTATTTATTTAGTTATTTATTTATACTCCTTGTGGGCAATTCAACATAAAACCCACAAAGTGTCCAGGACAATTATTACAAAACAAGAACATGTAAATAGAGCAATGGCCCAGGAAAAGGAGGCCAGCGTTTTAAATCAGCAGAGGCTGTGCATAGTTAAAATATATTTTTTCCAACATTTTTGAATATTTATTTTGTTTTCTCACAGACTCAATGGAGGTTTTCTGCAAGTTATCTTAGAATAAATTATACAGGCATCTGAGGTACTCCTAGAATGGGGAGCCATCTTGTACACATAGCAGACTACAGCCTGCAAACCAGCGACGTGCAAACAATTTTCAAACTGACTGGCCTCATACTTAGAATCGGCTTGGCTTGCAAAATGGCTGCCCGTTTTAGGGCAATATGGACACCAAGTGTTCTGCACCAGTAATAGCGGATTCTTGTAGGTAACAAAGGTTAATTTAAAGCTGAAAATTGGTAAGAGGAAAGCTCTGAAACAAAATGAGCCTGTTGGCCAAAGCTACGCCTCCGTAGGCACTGGAAGAAGCAAAGTAAACATGCCCAGACTTGGCGGGCTTCGCTTTCACTCAGTAGACAAAGGGAATAAGGGAAGTGCCAGGGAACCTACCAGGAGGTTCATTTATATGCCCAGCAGATGGCGTTCACACGGCACTAACAGCCCTAGATAGTTCTGATGAGTAAAAGGAAATTACTATACTCAAACGCTATCTTGGGATTGCTAATGCAACGCAAATGGTATCCAGGCAGAACCTTTATAAAATGAACCCCCAAGTGTCCACTTTTGTTGCCCTTGGTAGCAGAGCCTAAATTATCCTGCAACATAGATTGTATCATGGGCATTGTACAGATTTTATCTTGGGTACCTGTACACTTCAAATTATGATTGGAAATAGAATAAAGAGATAGCACACATAAACAGGGCCCATCTGCAGAAGGTGGAATGGAGATTATTAATTCACATTGCCATTGTAGGCAATATTAGTAGCACCTTGCCTTTTCTAATTATTATTTTTTTTAATTAGTAGAAGAACAAGAACTGTTCACTGCCACACAGAAAACAAGCCAAGCCCGATGCATGTTTTAAAAAGGCATCTATAGGAAGAACAGAACATCGTCCACCACTATCGGATGCTCCCTTTCCTGTGTCGGGCACAGTTTGGGATAATGAGGTGCAAGATTTAGGATATTCCCTTCACAATTTTTCGAAGCCTTCACTAGTAACACAGAGGCTCTTGTATCCCAACTAACAAACGGTTTGATCATATACTGTACATAAATACAGACCTACTGATAGCAACTAACCAGTTCTCATCTTCCAATGTAATTTGGTTGCTAGAGACTACAGCTTCATTTTTGCAACTTTTTTTTATTTTTTTAGAATTGTTGCTTTCATTGCAAGAAAATTTAGTTTACATTATCTGGACTGAGAAAACAAATCAGCTTCTTTTTTGCCAAATTGAGCAGTGTCCCAGAATGCCATGCAGCAGCTGGAGTGATACAAGTTAGAACCTGCTCTGGTCAAGGATCGTCGGCTTAAAAACTCAAGATGCATCACAGACTCCTGGCAAAGGATAATGCAGTTTTGGGTGGGCATTGACAGGATGAATCAATTTCCACCATCATAGGAGCTCGTTCACACAATGCCCGTTAAGATGCATTTTTCTGTACACCGCAGTACATATAAGGGTGTGAACAGGCCACATAAAACAGTTTTTTTCTATGTGCCTTGTTCACACCCTACATGTGCAGTGGTGTGCACGAAAGCACAGCTCAGACGTAGGGGTCCATTTATAAGCAATTCCCAGAGGCATTTGCCTTGCGAATCTGTGAACATTCGTTTTGTACGAATGGATGCCAAAACAAATGGTTATATTTTCTTTACAAAATCGAGTGCAATTTTGAATGCAATGTTATATTATGGCCAATAGGTGGCGCAGAGGAGCATAGAAAATTAATACTTATTTCCTATGCTCCTCCTTTCCTTCTAGTGGCCATAATGCAGTATTACATTCAAAATGACATTCAACTAAGAACATTCGTTTTTGCATCAATTCTCACAAAAAAAGTTCACAAAGAGTCACAGGGTGAGATAAATTATTTTTATAAATAGCCCCATAGCGTTAACAAGACCCCAGTCTCCTAGATTCTAAAAGGTGACAATTCTGAACAGTAGTCGATCCCCTGCCCTTCTCAGTAGTGATTGTGTCATTTTAATAGGACTCACCTATCTTTATTCTGCCGTGGAATTATCGCTCAGCAGAGTGTGACGCCATCAATTGGCTTTGTAATGGCTGCAGTAGTTGGGCAGAACTGGGAGTTTTAGTGGTAAAATTAAGTACCTGAGATTTGAAAGAAGTTGTCTTATGATTTCTTTCACATGCAGCCTGGCAGTAAACAAAGACTACAGTTTGGGTGGAGTTGGCCTTGGCCAGCAAAAGCACCAGTGTCATCTCACCAACTGTACATGAACATTTGTTAAAATATCAGGTTAAAACACCAGATTTAATTATTAAAATATCTTATATACACATACCATCCCTTTGGGTGAGCGGTGATAAAGTGGACTCATGGCAAATAAGAACACCGAGCTAAACTGGTACTAGGCGTCACTTTGATCCCAAGAAAGTGTATACCATTTATGAAATATTATTTTCCAGAAAGTTTATAAATAAAAAGGTTAGAAATGATGATGAAATGTTTCCTATACTGATAAAGCATCTGTTGAATTGCAGAGACACGAAATAAAGAATAAAACGGGTCAAAAATGCCTTTTGGACATCAAGACCCATAGCAAAAGGACCATCACCTGTCCAAGTGCTAGCAGCTGCAGATGTGAAAATCCTGGTTGTTCCACAGCAGAGGCAGATCAGGAAGCGGAATTAAGGAGAACTCCATTCATTTACAATTAATACATTAATTTGGGGGAGGGGTATCACTAGGACAATATGGATTTCCCTCTGGGGCTCCGCTAAAAGGATTAATAGGAAAAATAATAGCCGTATACATAATTCCCTAATTACATTTCTCTGATAAATTATTAGGTGTGTGGAGCTCTCCTTTAAGACTCACTCTTAAGTAATATCCATAAGATGAGAACTTTCCAAGTGTTAGGTCTAGACCGCGATAGTAGTGTTGTGTAGCTTGGGGGCTGCTGTAAAACAGCTAATGCGCAGTGTCAAGTGTAAAACTGCTTGTACATTTAAATCCTGAGAATTCACCACAGACTGAAACTTCTTACACAGTTCCAGTAACACCTAGAAATTCACTTCTGAAGAGGAACAGGAGTCCAGGTCATCACCAGAGAGGAATTCCACTCCGGAGTCGTCGGGGTCGAAAGAGGGGAGAGCAAATTTCCTTAAGTGTAAATCAGAATTCAGAGCATCGGAGTTCAAAGGGGAGGAAAAGTCAAACACCCAACTTTCCAGGTCCATGGAGGAGTAGGTATTGCGAGACAGATAGGTGGTGGCATGGTGGAATGGAGACGGGAGGGTCAGGCACTTTCTCAGGGTGCTGCGAACTGGTGGACTGCAGGGGGGAAAAAACAAAAACAAACCTTCATTAAAACAAATCTACATTTATCAAAAGATAAATACACCCTTTTCTGTCCACTCTCATTCTTCCACTTTCCCAGGGGAATTTGTGAAAATGGAATTACCCCCTACAATCTGCTCTCTCTCTCTCTCCCCCCACCCTCTGCTCTTACCTTTGAATGAATGCAGCTTCCCCTACACAGCTGCTGGTGTACAATCTGTCCCCGTACAGATCAGATCAGTTAGGGTCTGGAACTCACTGCCACAGGCGGTGATTTCAGCAAAGGGACCGTAATATACAGGGGTACAGGTACTCCTAGAATGAGATCCTAATAGGTTGGACTTGATGGACTAATGTCTTTATTCAACCTCAAATACTATGTACAATGCCAGCATCTTAGCCCTGCACTATGCATTTCAAATTACGCTCACAAATGGTGAGCACTCATTGGTCAGCGTGGTCACCTGGCCACGCAGAGCAATGAGGAGCGCTTCTTGGCATGACAAAAAAAAAAAAAGTTCAGCAAGCAGAGCTAATGAGTGGATCCATTTAGCTGAGTTTTAGGAAATGTCTTTATTTACCTAGGTGGGAGCAACCTTTTGCTGGCCTGGCGATACACAGAGCCAGCTACAGAACGCATCCAGCGAACGTCATCTGGGATATCAGGGAACCAATCTACTAACCTGAATATAAAAAGGAAACAAAACATTATAGTTAAAATCTTAAAATACTAATTATGTAAATGCAGTCTTAAACAGCAATACATGTCAACTAATAACAGGAAACAAACTCTGAAAGCTGTGTCCAAAGTCACCAGCATTTCCTATGGTCTCTCTGCTTCCCTGTACAGGTGGCCATCTTGGTAGAGGCAGGGCTTTGCTTCCTCATTTCAGAGCCTCCAGCTAAGAAAACAGTGAGCAGCATTATAGTGATATCACCAAGGAAGATAGAAGGAAGGAGGGTGAAGGAGTGGGGCGCAGGAAGCAAGGGAGTAGATTTCCTTTGTCATGGACCTCCAGTGTAGTTAGCAGTAGATGTTGGTCCAGGACCCTATTATTCCCCCACCATTTGACTGGATAATGAAGGAGAAGCAAAACACTAATGGATTATCACTCTGCTCACTCCTCCTGTAAGGATGGTTCAAAGCTAGATTGACAACAGTGCCTGATTAAAGTCTAGCAAAGGCCATCTCTTAGTCCAAGTCCTGCTGTGCAGACAGTTAATGATAATTGCATTTGTTTTTTATATCTAGAAGAGTAACTTTAAAATTATATCCAAACCTGCTTAAGGTCTTGTTCACACCAAGCAGGTGCAGAGCAGGTGCAGACCGGATCAAAACTGCGTCCAATGTATTCCAATGGTTTTTTTTGCTCCATTTCACATTGCAGCGTGCAGTTCCAGAGCAGGTAAAAAAACTGCAGCAAGCCCCATTTTACCTGCTCTGGAACGCATGCAAGCGCATCCAAAAGCATGCAAATGCCTGGAACGCACTGAAAGCCCATGTTAAACTAAAAAAAAAAAAATAATAATAATAATTTTTAACCAAAAACGGCCCGGAACGCATAAAAAACGTGGCAAACCCCACTGCACTGCGTGTGCAGAAACCTGAGCGGATCTGCTCTGCATTTGGTGTGAACAAGGCCTAATACTGGAAACAAAAACAAACAAAAAAAAACAAACATATCAATGTGCAAGTTTAATGAAAGGCTAAATGCCAATGAGTCAGACTTGGGGAAAAAAAGGGGCGATGTACGAGTATGCAACTTATGTCCCCCTAGTTACACATAAGAATCTCAACTTCAAGAAGAACAGAACCCAGTCCTTACCTCAGCGCTAAAGAATAAGCAGATTCCACTGGCAGGGTACATGGGAGAGCCATATAAGAGGCCACCCTCACAGGCAGGAGACTGGTGATCTGGCTGTAGAGCCCCCCTTTCTCTTTACAGGCCTCCTGCAAAGCTGAAACAAATATTGACGACATTATTAGGACTCAGTTACCCTGGAATACATTCAGCAACATGTGCTTAATATGTGTTGTATTTTTGAGGGAACTCGCTGGAGCAGACTGGAATGGCAAGCAACACACTAAAAATGCGGCATGCAGGATTATTCCTTATTGCAGCATGTTGGTGTAAGCATATGCTAATAAAAGCATAGATGTCCCTGATGGCCATGCTCTTTTATTGTGTTGACTTGCGTACAAAACATTAGTAAGACCATCTTGAATATCCAGAATGTTATAGAACTGAAGAGAGAGTGTAGAAAAGGGCAACCAAATTAATAAGCGGCAGATAGGACCTCAGCAATGGGGAAAAAAGCAACCGATTGGAATTTAAAGGGGGAAAAAGATAACCCGTATGAAAACATAAATGGTCCGTATAATAAACATTTGTGCAAAGGAGGTATATTTAAAGGGTTAGTTCACCTTTCTCCTAGAACAGCCCAGGTAGTCAGGAGGTCCAAGTAGATATAAATGCGCAATGTTTTGAAGAAATCTCTTGCCTAGTTTAAGCTGCATACCTGTAACCCCCCCAAAAAAAAGCCTTGTGATCACTTTCCCTCTACAATAAGCAGAAGAGATCGGCATTGCTTCTACAGGGAGAGAGAGGGTGGACCCGAGTGGCCTTTGAATAGGAACAGCGCTTGCTCTCGTCACCGAGGGGCAAGCGTCCAACTGCTGTAACATCCCAGAAACAGGACACAACGGCCGGGGAAGCTGCCATTAGGAGTTTTTAAGACAGGCTTCAGTGGGAAACACCATGGCCTACAGGTATGTAACTTATATTATTAAAAGATTTCTTCACAACACAGTGCATTTACATCCACTGGGACCCCTTAACTACATGGGCTGTTTTATGAACAAGGTGAACTAACCCTTTAAGATCAATGCAAAGAATGCACTAGGCAAGGGCCCCTGTAATTATTTTCTTAACTAGCTTTCATGGCTTGAAAATGGGTCTTGTCATACATTTAAACCATTAATCCTAGGCACAGCAGCACAACAGACAGTACTCCTATTGTATCTACCTTTGTAGAGTGTAGGTGGTAGTTTTTCCATTATCCTTCTTTCTAAAGGCCAAGACTCCGGCTTCTTCACTACTTCCTTCTCTTCTTCTTTCTTTATATTGGAGGACACTGTGCACTGCGGACTGCTGCAGGGAGAAAACATAAGGGGCTTCTCCTCCGCTAAAGGAAGATCTCTTGCAGGTGATGGCACATTTAGGAGATCTAAGAAGGAACATTTAGTAGGGATTTAGCCAAATGATTTGCTGAGCATGTCATATACATACACATACATTGTGTGTATGTAATACACACACACGATTTTGCTTATACCGTGTTTCCCCGAAAGTAAGACCTACCCCGAAAATAAGACCTAGCACTATCTTCAGGGATTTCTGTAATATAAGACCTACCCCGAAAATAAGACCTAGTTCGGTGGTAGGTCTTATATTACAGAAATCCGCTAGAATAATACTATACAACTAAAAATGTATGGACATGGTTACTGTACATAGGTTAAAATATTTAGGGGCCAAACTAAAACAAAGGGAGAACGTGACTAAAGGAATGGGTCTATCTTGCTCACTGATAATAAATGGATCCATTGACTTGCACAAAATAGTGGGTATTTAGTGAAGAAAAAAGTAAAACACACACCAACACACACGTTATTTAATACATTTATAGTCACTGTCTACTGTATGTGATGCGCCAGTGGCATGTGGTTATGGGCAAAAATAAGTTAGAGGGCCGAAGGGAGTTATAATTGCAGACTTCCACAGTAAAATTAGGGAAATATTTGGAATAAAAATAATCAGTTTTGATCAATTACCAAAATCTAATTGATGGATTGCCTTTTGTCCTCTAGGTGGTGCTATTTCTATAACAGAAACTTCTGCAATCCATTCATTGGTAGTTGTGTTACTCATGGGATCAGAGGGCAGTTTGACACTTTTACAGACTTCCATATGAAACTTTGTTGACCTTCTATGCCATGTAAATGATCATTTGACAGTTAATAGGTCAAAACAAATATATATATATTTTTTTTTTTTATTTATTTTTTTTTTAAATTAGTAAAATCAATCTAGGTTTGA